TTGCGAGGTTCTGTGTAGCCATTCTTCGATTGCGGAAGTTAAATACCAATTAGATTGCCGTTCCCAGTTGTATGTATGCCAACATGTTCTAATGGAATACTGAAAGTTAGAAATTTTAAGGTTTTATAAGGTTTTATACTTATGTGACTGGTCTAAGGACTATAAATAAACTATTGATTGATAGCCATTCTGTTCCTGCTTTGTATGTGCTGTGCTTCTCAAAATGAAAGAACATTAACTTTGCATAGACACATTTTGTAGAATTCACAAAGACCTTGGCAAGAGAACATGGTGGGTATTTTGCTTTCATTGACATGTGAATAATCTTAAGGAATTTGAAAATGCCTTGCCAGGTTATCCCATTGAAATGAGAGAGCCCCAAAGGCTGAGAAGACAAAATGCGGCAATTTTTTAATATGTATTTGTTCTTCATAGTGCAATATGGGTTTGATGCCTCCTGCCTACCCTGCTGGGAAGTCTGATACAGTCATATTTGTTTCCCATTCTTCCCATCACCACCATTCCTTCTCTACTGTAGGTCTGCAGCCATGTCCCATGACACTGGTCTTTGGTTGCCGACAATCCAAGATTGATCACATTTACAAAGAGGAGACTTTGTTGGCCAAAACCAGTGGGGTCTTCAAGGAGCTGTATACGGCCTATTCCAGGGAGCCGGATAAACCAAAGGTAAGATCAGAGCTTGGAAATAAATAGTTACAGACTACTTGGAACTACTACTTAGTTTCTCTTTCCAATAACAAATGACTTTTATGACATTATACTGCAAACTAATGGAAGAAAAGCAACATAATCGTTAATTTAAAATTAGTTTTATAGTGATAGTATATGACATCTAAATAGTGGAGGAGAAATGTCACATAGTTTCCCCTCTGCCTTGTACTGCTGCTTCTATTGTAGGTGTTAAGGTGGCAAAGCTTGTGTTCATCACAGCTGGCATTTATCTCAGTAAAAGTTTAATTGAAATGAAACAATTAATAATCATAGTATTATTATTATAACATTCATCTAAGAATCAAAGTGTACGTCTTTTCATTGTTGCATTAATTCTAGGCATCATCACCTTGTCTAATTTTACAAGCATTATTTATCGCCGTTTTTTCTTTGTGCCATATGAGCAAAATACTTGAAAAAGTAACACATCAAAATGTATTTAACACAGTATTGCAGCTATGAGGAAAACTCTAGGCACGAAGACTTAAAAGAATCTTTCCTTGCAGCTTGTAAAAAGATGTAAATGTGATTCCTATCCCGAAGTCTTACAACTATGAAATAATCCAAAATTAAGACATAAATTGTAGACAAATTAAAAGAATCTTTCCTTGCAGCTTGTAAACAGATGTAAATGTGATTCCTATCCAGAAGTCTTACAACTATGAAAAATTGGCAAATAAGAAATAATCCAAGATTAAAACATAAATTGTAGACAAATACTTAAGTCAAAATTCAATCCAACTACAGGATTCAAAAATAATATTTTAAGAGACATTCTAAAAATGCAAGAGCTAATATCCAGAAGTCTTACAACTATGAAAAATTGGCAAATAAGAAATAATCCAAGATTAAAACTTATGGTGCAAAAAATACAGTAAGTCAAAATTCAATCCAACTACAGGATCAAAAGTACAAGAAATATTCAAAAATAATATTTTAAGAGACATTATAAAAAAGCAAGAGCTAATAAGGCACATTTAGAACAAAAGACAGAATAAATCTCTCAAAATATTAAAGTTGTAGTTACTAAGCCAAATAATAATAATTTTAATAACACAAAGAGAGAAATTTATTCTAAATGCACATCCAGCCAACCAGTTAAAGTCTATGGAATAAAATCCATTTTGATTATTATTGACAGCACCTAGAAAATGAAGTGTACTCCTTCATTGCTACATGATTGTTGTACTTGTTGTTTGATATCTGATGCCCAAAGCAGTTTGGAGTTCTGATGATGTGATGAAAGCCCTGTTTCCATGTGTCCTGCTGCCACATATTTTTAACTCTACGTTTTCACTTCCTCCTGGTCTGTAAATCACCCTTATCTGCAGGGTCTGTACATTCTAAGGTCCTCTTTAACTTTTCCAAATTAATTTTAATCAGAAGTTCCAAGCAATATTTATTCCTTAATATTTAATATTATTTTTCAACTTTCCCTCAAAAAATAGTCTTCATCTTCACTGTCTCCTCCCAATCATGGTTTAGTAGTATGCATTCTGACTTATCCCAATTTCCCTTTAATTCTGTTATTTCCTCAAATCGCTCTAAGTATTTTTTGGATTCTCCCTATTGATTCAGTTGGGTTTTTAATTAATAAAGTAATAAAGGATTCAATGCCCAAGTCAAAAAACTTCAATCTGCCTTCTTAAGGAAACTCTTGGGCCTTCCATCTTGCGTGGGTTTTGCTGTTATCTATCTGGAACTGGGTATTCTATCAGTTGAATGCAAGGCATGGATTGCAGCCTTTAAATGGTGGCTACTTCTACACTTTCTAGCAGTCCCTGGTAGTTATCTCTCTCTACTGCTTAAGGATACCTGTACAGTCGTGCCTTGCTTTACGATTGCCCCGCATTACGATGAAACCGCATTACAACAACGTTTTTGCGATTGCTTTTGCGATCGCAAAACAATGGTCTGAATAGGAGTTTTTCGCTTTGCGATGATGCAATGATCGGGTCCCTGCTTCAGGAACCGATTCTTCGCAAAACGACAATTTTAGAATAGCTGAACGGCGGTTTCAAAATGGCCATGGGGGAAATAAAATGGCTCCCTGCTGTTTTCTGGGACGGATTCCTCGCTGCACAGGCACGGAAAATGGCCGCCCTATGGAGGATCTTGGCTGGACAGTGAGTTTCCAGCCCATTGGAATACATTGAAGGGGTTTCAGTGTGTTTCAATTGGCTTTTTATTTTTGCATTACGACGTTTTCGTTCTACAGCGATTTTGCTGGAATGAATTAACGTCATAATGCGAGGCACCACTGTATTGCCAAATGGTCGAGAGAGATGGAGAAGGAGCTATTTAAGTTAGGTCTTTCAGTACAAATCGTAATGCGAGGCACCACTGTATTGCCCAATGGTCGAGAGAGATGGAAAAGGAGCTGTTTAAGTTAGGTCTTTCAGTACAAGATGTTAGTAGGCATCCTTCAGTCTCAAGAGACTATGGTAATGTGCTATGAATAGAGGCCTTGGATCAATGTCTAGTGTGGCTGAGAAGACCAATTCAAGAGTGACGAAGATGAAGATGTGGGTAGTTATGATTACATGAAGGTTAAAGCCCTTGTGGTTCAGAGATTAATAGACTTGGACCTACAGCCCTTAAGAACTGCAGCTAATAAATGCTGCTCTCCATTGATCTAGAATAAAATTAATAACTATGGACTCTTCATCGCTCCATACCTATATGCATTGTCCATTTCAAAATATAGGAGATGGTAGCTCACTTCAATGTATTGCCATCAGCTATATTAGAAGGGTGATTTAGGGAAATTCCGTTTAATGACTGAACTTGTCCTTGTGGAAATAGAGAAATCGAATCAGTTGAACATGTTATTTTTCACTCAGAATGTATGATGATTGCAAAATGAAGTCAATCTCTCCACTAATAGGTGTCTCTCTGCATGGTAGCCATACAGGTTTGTTACTGTCCTGTTAAGAGGATGCGTCCACTTATATTACTAACAGGGTGTCTAAATTTTTATTGATTGCTATGAGAACTAGAAAGAAAATGTTGCAATCACTTTGAAAGAAGGAATCATACTCCAGTGGTCCCCAACCTTTTTAACCCCACGGACTGGTTGGGGAAGGCGGGGCACCCCCTCACTTGTGCACATGTGCAAAGGAGTGTGCACATAGAAGTGGGAGGGCACTTGTGTGGGCGCACAGGTGCTTGTGTGCATGGGCAAGGGCAGCACTGCGGGCATGTGGGTGTGTGCATGCACAAAGGATGGGGTTGCGCTTGGGGGGGCACTAATGCGCATGTGCAAAGGGGTGTGGGAGTGCTCATGCGGACACAGGCGTGCAGGCGCAGGCACAAAGGAGCTGTGCAGGAGGAAATGGGGGGGGAGATCTGTCTCCATGGCCCGGTCCACAGACCAGGTATTGGGGACCTCTGATATACACCATATAGGAATTTTCTGGGGGAGATCTGTCTCCATGGCCCGGTCCACAGACCAGGTATTGGGGACCTCTGATATACACCATATATAGGAATTTTCTGTATGTTCTGTCTTCTTTATAATCTTGCTGATCTGCGACAGTAATAAAGAGTGATGATGACATTTGGTCACTCTTGCTGTATTAAGCACTCAATCTGCCATTTGTCTTCCTTTTATAAAGCCACTTTGGTCTTTATAGATGTAATCTCCTATGAAATTATTCAATCTGTTTGCTAAAATAGCAGTAAATATTTTTTGCATCTTGATTAAACAATGATATTGGTCTGTAGGATTCCATAAACATCAGACTTTTATCTGGTTTCGGAATTAGAACTATTAATGATTCTTTCCATGACTGGGGGATTTTGTTTCCTTTCAAAATTTGATTATGTAATATTTTTAATTTAGGCATAAGGAGTTTTTAAAATACTTAGTAATACTCTGGGTGTAGTCCATCCATTCCGGTTGTTTTCCCTGCTTTCAACTTGTTTATAATTCCTTTATTTCCTCTTCTGTAATTAATTGATCCATTCTATCTCTATCTTCTTTTTGTATTTTCCCAACAAAATTACTCTCTATATATTCTTTAACTTTATCTTATAATAGATTATTGATAGTATATTTTAAAAAATTAAGTCTTGAAAAGCTTCCAGATTTCCTTTCATTTTATTACATCTTCTACTTTTATAATCTTATACCACCCCGTTGTAGCTTTACCTTTTCTTAACTGAGTAGATTTCACTAATAGTTTAGAGTTTTTATTATTAAATTCAAAATATTCCCTTTTAAATATGTTAAAATTCCTTTGTATCCTTTCCAGATGAATTCCCTCTAATCCCTTCCTTTTTTTCTTGCAACTACATCAAAGCTTTATTTTCTCTCTACTTCTTAAAAATATCTAATGGTTGTTCTGGGTTTTTCGGGCTCTTTGGCCATGTTCTGAAGGATGTTCTTCCTAACATTTTGCCAATCTCTGTGGCCGGCATCTTCAGGGGACAGAAGAGTGCAGTGTCTTTTCTCTTCCACGTAGGTCTACTCCCTTTTTCTCTCTTTGCTTTGACCTTCCTTGATGCATTAACAGATTCTAATTCACTTTAATAGTAAATATGTTCTCCCCCCCCCTTGCAATTCTTGAAGTGGCCGGTAGATGGAGCTCAAGGTTTTATCCAAGTAACTCTTAGAGTTGAACAGTAGATGGAGCTCAAGATTAAGTAAAATTAAGTGAAGCGGCTCCTTAAACAGTTACTTTCATTTTAGCTTACCTTAATTTTGTTCTATTTTTATATATTCTTCTTTTTAAACTCCCAGAGCAGTCTTGCTTAACCAGCCAAGATACATTTTCATTCACTGGACTCTGGCAACAAATTGGAAGGTAGTTTTCTAAAACAGTTTAACTTAGATGGATTCAGAGCCCTCAGTCCCATATCTAACTGCCTCCAGGAAATGTTGCAGCAATTTTTTTACTCAATCTGATGCTTTCTCTTCGCCCACCGTCATATGACTATTTCCCCCAGGGAGG